TCACGTACAGTTTAATGGATTCAGGCCAATACTGAAAAGAAAGTCAGCATTCAAGTCTTCAGAGGAACCATCATGCCATAAAATCTGCATTGTCCCCATTCAGAGATCGAAGGTTCGACTTGCCCTGGTGAGGAGGTAGGAAGCAATCTGAAACCCTGAGCTGCTTCACGAGTTACTGCCCAGGAGCACAGAAAAATGTGGTGCTTCTGCCTCTCTGTTCTGGAAACTGTTAAGAGATTTAAATTAATACTGGGATGCCCTTGGAGTTTTTCTGACAGAAACCATTGATAAAAGCTCTTGTTAATATGTAACCTTTACTCCAGCCCCTCAGTAGCTGGTCCTGCTTTCCGTGTGATGTGTGGTCCCTGGTCTCGTTTTCTGCCGTCCATCCTTCTTCCAGCAAACCTTCTGCCATTGGGATTAGCCAAAGTGCCCAGGAAGCAAATACAACTTCTAACAGAAGTGATACTATGCCAATAAAGGCTTTTAGGCATTTTATCAGTTCTTCCTAAATAATCCAATTCAAAACACAATGAGAAGTATGTCTGCGAGATGAGCCATAGTTCTCGATGAATATAAAAAATGGATTAGAAAGGCACCATTTGTTGAGGATTACATATTTTATAGACAGAAGAAATGTGAGAAATATGTCTTCTTTAAGCTGTCTTAATACCATGCTTTCAGTGTTCAGCGAGAGTCAGGGGTGGAACAAGTGTAGATATAAAAAGATTAGGAGGAAAATCACTTGGAAGAGCTGCTGCATTAGAGTTACACTTTAAAGTTAAAGTCAGGACAGATGCAGCATGTTGTGACAGAAACCAACTAACATCTTTAATGGCAAATTGTTTATTTGAGGAATTGAGGAATATTATTATGTCTGGAAGGGAGCAGAAAAAAAATAATCAAACATTAACTCATTAACTCTCAAATAATTTTTCTAAGCTTGAAAAGACAGCAACTTCACAGAGACTGCCAGCATGACCCATGCTTAAATGAGAGACCCAAAATGGAGCGAAAACCAAAAATACCCATTTTCTCAAGTAAGACCAATACACCAGCTGTGATAATGTAATCAAGCTGGACTGCCTTCTTGGATCCTGTTGCTACTGTTCAATTAACATGTCAAATGATTTTCAAACTTCTTTCTGATATTATTTCTACAAAGTCTTATTTCTGCTAAGACCAGAGCAGACTGAGATTCTCCTGTTTCTTTTATTTTCTTCCCTAACAAAAAAGTTAAGTTTTTGGAAAATTTGAAGCTTTCCAAATGGAAAATTTAGATTTTTTTTTCATCAGGTGATTGCACATGAAATATTTAACTTCCAATTATTTCCATATACCATTGTATCCACCAGAGAAAAATACTCCGTGGGAGGTTAATACCACACTGGAGGCTACATGTGGATACATAGCTAAGTATTTACTACTGTTCAGCAATGCTTTGCCCTGGACGCTTTTCTCCAAATATAAGGTGGGATATAGTTTTCTGCTTGCCTTGGTGGCCCCAACAGTTTTGCAAATAGGTGTTGATTAGTCACAAATAGCTTGTTTTACCATGCTGCCACACTGGAGACTGTGCAGTCAGGGTTCACACACATAAAAAAAATTGAGGACCAATGGGATATTCTGAAAATGTTAACCCTACTTATTCGTATGTGCAAATCCAAACCTAAATGGAAACTTCCAGCATAAGTCAGCCAAAAGAATGATTTTTTTTCCTACGTATTTCTATTTTAAGATTGATATTTAAAAATCTAACTACTAGTCACATGGCTTCTTTCTTGCAACTTTTACATCCTGGTGGGGATGCAGAACTGGTTTGTTCTGCTGAGAGCATTTCAACTTGGTTATGCTACCAGAAGTGGTGGAACATCTGCCTAAACTAACCTTTAAAAACAGTTAAGTACCACCACTGTTAGTTTTAACTCACTATGATATTGCTCTTTACATTAATGCTTTCACCACCCCTGTCTTCAGAACAGGACCTCCTCTTGAGGCCATCAGGAATGTTGTTCCTTATGTCAGCAGGACTTTCTGGACATGACAGTTACAACTTTATCTCTTCACCAGATATTGTAATCAAGGGCTGGATTTTGACAGCTCGCTCCAACTGATGATGGTGAGATCCAGCACATCCGCAAGTGGGGAGGTATACGTTTCGATCACAAAACCTTTTTCTGCCATTCCAGATTTCAGATTAAAAAACTACAAAATTTATTCAGATTTTACCTAGGACAGTCTATTTACTTGAGAAAAAGCTTTGCCAGAATTCACAACTACAGACTGCTCCCATGAATGACATCAAGCCACTGCTCACACGAGCCAAATTCAAGCCACTAACTAGAATGTAAACGGTTATAATACATAATCCTTTTTAGATCTCTTAGCAGAGATGATCAGCCAATGACCCTATGTCTAGATCTGGCCTGCAAAGAAGTTAATCTGGTCTGTGGAAAGAAAAGAGATACCTTCAGCAGACTGTACCTCTGAGATTGCTCCATTGATTTCAGTGGGAGCTACTTATGAGAAAGAAATTGCAGAATTTTGTTCCAGGTACTGTCATGGAAAGAAAAACCCTAATGAAATTATCTTTGGAAATGTACCACTCCAAGTCAGGTATTTTGAAATGAATCCAACGTATCATATTTAATTGCATATATTTTCAAAAAGCTGTTAAGCACTGAAGGCTCTGGTTCATCTGAAATTGAAAAGGCATCCAAGACTAAATTGATTGAAATTTGACTTTTGGGCACTGAGACTGAGCAGCTGCGATAAGGACCAGATTGCTGGTTGGGTGGCATTTTCCTTTCCAACAATATTGGGAACTTTACATTTTGCTACAGATTGAAAGAAAATACCAGAACGCAACGTGTCTGTGCAGACCAGCTGTAAACATCAAAAGGCCCACTGTGCCCATTTTGCAAAGGCCCTGAGAGCATCCTCCCACTGGGAGGTCTGGATGCCAGGGCCAGGGGATAACGCAGCGTCAGTGTGGCCAAGGGAGTGTCCCCAGGCAGTGCCGCAGGGAGGCTGCAGCTGGGACCCACTCCCGTCCCCGCGGAGCTGCTTCCAGCCGTGGCCGTGGTGCTTCATCCATGGTGCTTCATCCCTGCCTGAGCGACAGTTCCCGACGACGTGCCACTGCCCGGCCTCAGCCCATCCCCATGCGATGGCTTTCCTTTAGCTGGGAAAGCACGCAGTCAGGATCAACTGCACAAGTCTTGTGTTTGGCGAATCCCACCTAGCAAGTCCACAAAGAGCAACAGGGACCACCAGCCCTCTCCCCGGGACCACCAAGGGTAGGGCCGGGCTCAGGCTGTAGCTCCACACCTGCGTCCCCTGCAGCCGACCCAAAGACTGATGCTGTCTTCAGCCAGAGATGGATGAGGCCCTCCAGGAACATCCTCAGCTCGCTCGGTTTCTCTGGTGGGCATTATCTGGAGGAAATAATTTTCGAGATACGTGTGTCACAGTGATGTCCTATCTGCCTTAGAAGGGACTTCAGGATTTTTGCCAACTGCTGTTTACACAAAACTCTATTAGAACGGTGTCCCGAGGGGCTGCAGAGGGGGAAGGAGGTAGGAAACAGCTGTGCTGGTAAATATTAGATTTCTTTGTGCTCATATGTTCGCCAGACAGAAGACAGGCTGAGACAATTAAGAAACTTCAGTTGTAGTAAGGACATGCTAACAAGACCATTAAGATTTGATTTGTGTGGCACTGGATCACCTACCCGTCCAAATGGATGGGGCAGGAGCACATGACAGCACTTCTGGTGAATTGTCCACCGTATGCAGTTGGTATTTATACTGGCTTTATATTATCTGGGGGGAACTGGCAATATCTAATCTGGCATAAAACTGGCATGGTATAGACAGAATATACTCAAACCAATATAAACCGGAGCATTTTTTTAGCACATTAAAATCACGTGCCTGCGGCACTTTGCACCATAAGGCTGCAGTGTTTTGGTGCAGTATTCAGTGCCCTAAAATATTCTTGCCTAACATAATTCCAACTGAAAAGGTGACCTGCAGTAACCAAAGGTCTTATACAGGGTGTTCAGAAGCTCTTGTGCTTGTGAAGAGCCAGAACCGTGTGTCAGAACCAGGTACACAGTCAAACAGAGTCCTTGCAATACCTAAATACAGCTAAGAGACACGTGTGTATCAGCTGCTGTGTGTACCTGGTGCAGACAAAAGCCAGGAGAACAAGGAGCTATTCACACTACGAGATCCTGCCTACCTGCAGATCTGTGTTGGGCTATCTACTGAGGGCAGCTAGAGCAGGGCTCATACAGATGTCCTGCTTACTATATTTACTGGCACTTTTTGAGGGGAGACAAGTTTCTAAATTTAGCTTTCACAAACTTTTAAAGCCAGGTACCATCACTGGCAGGGACACCGGTGGCAGCAATGGTGGTGGCCACTGCTAGTGACAGCAGGTCCTACACCTGGCTGCAAAGTATACATACTCGAGGAGAATGCATGAACACAATCTGGGAACCTCTGCTACGCTACTCTAATCAATGCCTTCAAATCACCTTATTAGAAGGCACTGGAGCTAGTCAAGTAATGGTGTGCATCAAATCTAGCTTTCCTAGACACGATGTAGCTGGCACAGTAATACCTAAAAATTTGTGTAATTTGCAGATAAATGTAGGTTTGTATATGAAACTGCTGGAGCATTATTCTTAATCCTGTGGGCTGGCAGGAGTCAGGAGGGAAGAGGCACCCATTGAAAAAGGCTGAAGAATCAAAGTCTGGTCTGTGTTTAGTATAGGTATATGATCAAGCTGTACCAGTGAAGGCTTGCCATCTGCTGCTATTTTGTTTAACAAGAAGTGAAAACAAGAACAAGGACATTTGCATTGCAGTTACTGGAGGGCTAATGGATAAAATGGCAGATAAAAAAGTTGATATGACTCAGGATCTTGAGAACTGCTGCTACTTCATAAAAATAATTCTGTGTGTCTCCACGACAGAAAAACCATCACCACAAGCTGCTGCGGTGACCCAAGAAATGCATACTACAGAGGAATATGCAACTTCTTCTCCAGATGCAACCAAGTAAGGGAGAAAGGGGGTAACAAGCTGTCTGGAGCCAGCTACCCCTGGTATCTACAGCAAATGAGTTCCTGATAATGAGGGGGAATATATGATCTATGCAAATGCCACTAATGGCTTTTCCTGCAGCTGGGTGCCAAAGTTGTTTCCCCTTTGATCATATTGTCCCCTTCCCAGTCTGTCTTCAACACTGTTACAGCTACTGGTGCAGTGTATTTCAAGCTATTAATAACATCTCTTTCAGTATTTGTACTATAAACCACAGCGGTTTTACATACATTTTTTCAAAACATGACTTTATTGCATTATCATCTTTTTTATAGAGACCAGGTAAGATACAGATATCAGCAGAGATGACAGACACGGGCAAATTGCACTGATAGATCACTATTACAAGAGCAACCACAATTTTTAGATGTTCCTTTACCACAGTGTTGCCAGATGAACTGTGTCGACCTAGACATACAAAACCTGAACTTGTTTGAACATTTTCACTCTGTCCTACAGGGCCATTGAAACAGACTTCTGCCTGTCCACCTCCTGGCAGACACTGCCAGGAGCTCCAGGGAAGAGGGAGAGCTGCTCACAGTTGGATTCCAAAAGGTAAAGAACAATCTCCTTTGGACAGTATGGCTAATTCCCACTCCCTTAATGAGCCTTCCCTTCTAAACACCTATGAGTCAGCCTCATGGAAGTGTGACTTCTTACTGATGTATGTATATAGCACCAATAGTGTGACAGCAGATTATTGTTACAGACGGCATGCAGAGCAAAGAAATGAGAAGAAAAATGACAAAAGTTTCATTTAACATAAAGTTCAGCATGTCTCTTACAAAACTTTTTCTTAATACATCATAGTGAGTTTTGGCCATCTAGCAGATGGCCCTCTACAGCGACTCTTAGCCTCTTCGCCTTCCCTTTTGAAGTTGAACTGCATTACCTTGCCAACACAGCTGAGCCTGCCAAACCGAGCCGTGAGATACCCGAGGCCAAGCTCATGTTTCCATTGTTACGGTGCAGTTACCAATGCATCAGACCATCCTGGGATTACACACATCCTGCCAACAGGAGTTACTCCCTGAGGGGTTGTCATAACAGATTATTTATGCAAGCATTGCACAATTTTGCTACTGCAAGTGTGTAAATCTTACACACCTTCAAAAACAGAAAGGAGATTATTTCTACATTGTGAGCAGTCATGTAGACTGGTAATGACTGAGCGTGTAGAGCTGCACAAATATCACAAAGTAACACCCTGTGCTTCCTATAGAAACAGAGATCACTATGGTTTATAGCTACAAGTTGGGTGTACGCTTCTTTGCTAAAGGATGAGCAGCTGTGGTTTCACTGTGCTCTCCGGGCAAACATTAGATCAAAATTAGATCAAAATGACACATGCTCTCCTACTTTCCTTTTTCTTCTAATGTAAGAAATGAAGTTAGCATCAGCTACAAACATTTGAGAGACCTTGTTCTGCTTCTGAACCCAAATTCTACACTTTTTAAAAAATATCTTGTGCTTTTATAATCAAAATAAGCTCATGATTAGCAGATACCAAACTATGCTTAGGAATCTTCTATTATTCTCACTTTAGAGAGGGAGGAATGACAGAAAGGCTAAGGATGCTGATTTCAAAAGTGGTCTGACCTGAGTCATTTTGGAGTTTCAAGACCACCCTGGGTTGCCATGGAGTCTGGCAGCCCTTGGTTATGGAAAGCTCTGTTGTATGTGCCTGGCTTTGGGTGGGTAAAAGGTGATGTTCTCAAAGGCAGCAATCACTTTTGACAGGGTTTTGCCCTAAGAGATAGTGCACAATGCACAAAAAAAGTGGATGGTGGGCTGAGAGTTGGACCTGTCTATCCACATTTCATGTTCATTTTATGACCTCTTTTACTGTTACAAAGATGAACTACATAGGCTTCTCTGCAATTCAGAATGAAATTGTATCAGAGGGACAGACTAGTTTAAGATGATAACAGTTAATGCTTTTGCCAAGCTCAAGAACCACTACTGAGACATGAAGCCAGGATGAACCCCACCTGCAGTACTGGGTTCAGCTCTGTGGCCCCCAACATAAGAAGGACATGGACCTGCTGGAGCGGGTCCAGAGGAGGGACACGAAGATGATCAGGGGCTGGAGCACCTCCCCGATGAGGAGAGGCAGAAGAGAGTTAGGGTTGTTCAGCCTGGAGAAGAGAAGGCTCTGGGGAGACCTGGAGACCTTATAGCAGCCTTCCACTATTTAAAGGGGGCCTACAGGAAAGTTGGGGAGGGACTTCTCATCAGGGAGTGTAGTGATAGGATGAGGAGTAATGGTTTTAAACTAAAAAACGGTAGATTTAGATTAGATATTAGGAAAAAATTCTTTACTGTGAGCGTGGTGAGGCACTGGAACAGGTTGCCCAGAGAAGCTGTGGCTGCCCCATCCCTGGAAGTGTTCAAGACCAGGTTGGATGGGGCTTTGAGCAACCTGGTCTAGTGGAAGGTGTCCCTGCCCATGGCAGGAGGGTTGGAACTAGATGATCTTTAAGGTCCTTTCCAAACCAAACCATTCTGTGATTCTATGATTCTATGATATCTTTGAATCCAGACCCCTGTAAACAACAAAACACTACCCTTTAATGACTGCTGGATCAGCTCTGTCACTTGAAAAAGGGATTGAAACGAGTACTAAAATTAAAGTAGTTTTAACATGGCAGTTTCTAAATGAGTTGTAAAATAAGCTGGGACAAGTTTGCACGAAAAACATTTGCTATTAAGAGTAAAACCATGGGACTTGAGCCAGGCCAGCTGTGCTACTGCTCCTCCTTTGCTCCTGTACCAGTAGGTGCCAGAGGCTACAGACTCTGGAAGTAGAAAACACGTTTCATTGCTCTCATTTCATTCCCTCAGGCTGACACATGGAGTGGAGTTGACAGGCTCCACAGCAAGCTGTGTCTAGCCTTCTTTGGCTGGAGGGAGGATTGGCGATACATTGTGCCTTGAGTTTTGGCAGGAGAGACCATCGATGTTAAAGCAAATGAAAGAAAGATTCTTTAGGTTACCAACTCTTTAAGGCAGGGCTGCCTGTGGTATACAAGTTTACAAGCAGCGTGAGAAACGGGTCATAAAAAGGTCCCCATTTAGATAGATGTAATAGACAGTTAGCTATTCACAGGCTGATGTCCAAGTGAAAGGTGCTCAGGGAAAATCTAGCTTAATCAAGCACTTGAAGTCAGGACTCAAGAGGGCTGGGGTCAAGAGACAGAGAAGGTCAAAGATAAGGGTCTGGATATGCAGCAACATGTAGCAAAGCTAACAGGCAAACAAACGATGTGAAAAGAAAAATATATGGGTCACAAATTATCCATTTGAAATTATATGTATAAAAAATTAAAAGAATTTTCATATGTGGTTTTGCAAGAGAAACCACATCTGTTGATTCATTTCAAGAACAGCAACAAGAAGATCTAAATCTGGAGTAGGTATCAGTAAGGGAAAATAAAACACTATAATTTCCTTTATAGGAAATAAAGGAGGAAGATGTTCAACCTCTCAAGTGTTATAGAAATGTGAAGTGACTTGAACTCAAAACTACTTAAATGTGTTATGTAGCAACACAAGCTTTAAATGCTTATTTTTATAAACAATGGGATCCAATAAATAATACAGACCAGTTACTGAGGGATGCACATTTACATCAGTCCCAGCTAGTTTATTTCCAGAAAACTGAAACAATCTTTTCCTTCTTTTCAGGACCATGAGTTTGTGAATGCACTGTAACATTTTCCACATATGGATCCATTTTTATGATTTCATTATTTATTCAGCACTCATATGAAAATATTCTTACCAGCCTAAGCATTTTAGCATTCTTACATCATATTACCTTGAATAACTGTGTGTTCAGTAATGTATATACATTGAACTTGAAGCAGCTAGTATACATCAGCAGTGATAAAGAGCATGAGGTAAAGATCCTAGTAGCTCAGTGGTTGACATATTTACTAAAGTGCTTCCTCCACATCAGGTATTCCTATCTCTTAGCTATAAGGAGAAGATTTAAAATGCAGTTTAAATCAATCAGTGCATATGGAGGAATGTGAATTCCATTGTTTCAGGATAATTTATTTTGCTTCATCTTAAAAAAAGGGAAAGACATTGTTAAGAAATATAATATCCTGCATTTCAGGATGGTGTGGTGTCATGTTATGCTTCTGCATTAAAGAATCAAACCCGTCTCCGAATCCAGACAGCCCCAAACCATCTCTAAATGCATTATTATAGTTTGGTTAATTGGAAAACACCCTAAAAACATACTGAAATTATGTTTGGCCTGGTTTCCATACATATCAAAGAGGAGAGATTCCTGGCAGACCTGGAATCTGTATTTTGAACAAGGAGTTTGCCAGCTGGCTTTTCACATTCTGTAACAAGTTTACGCATTACTTTAGAAAATTTGCAGAACTAGACCTGGTTGAATGTTATGAAATAAACCACTGTAATAACAAAACAAACTATTTGGTGGACCTAGCAGTTTCAAGTGTAATCAGCAAGCAAATTATAACAAAATTATTTTCTTGATCTTGAAATTTATTAATAAAGATGTGTGAAACTTGGAAACACTATCGATGCAGCACATTCATTCCTTTTCTTCCCCCACTGTTTACATTGCAGAACATTTTACTTTGCTCGCAAGCCTTTCGTTACAGATTGGTGCTCTCTCCTTCCTCGTGTCGACGGTAAAAAAAATCATTGCTCTCCTTTTATACGGGGTCCAACTGGGCCTAAACTCTGCTTAAGTCAGTGGGACTGGCACCAAATCATTCCTCCCATGTCTGGCAGGGTGCTTTGCGGGCAGAGGTGACAAAGCCCTTGCTCAAGAAGCTTACGCTGCGTTAGAGGCATCAGTGACCAGCAACAAGCCCTATAAAGAAGAAAGACAGGGAGGGTCATCAGCCACGGGCAGAGGGAACTCAAAAAGATTGCCTGAGCCGTTTATTTTGTTTAGTGTATCTATTTTACCCCCCCCCCCCCCTTTTTTTTACCACCCTCTCAATTATTTTTAATTTGCTACAAAGAGTCAGGATGGAAATAAGCAGCTGGAAGGCAGTCAAAAAAGCGAGCCCCAAGGGAAGATCTGAACCAGAAGGTGGATTAGGGTCTCCTGAGGGTGCGGCGAGGTCGGGTGAGGTGGCAAAGGACGACGGGCAGCTGGCACGCCATCGCACAGGCTCCAGAAAGGTAAGGGAGCTTATTTTGCCTTTCTGTAAACTCTTATTTTTGCACCAACACAATGCTGCGAGCGTGGGCGTGTAATATTTTTTTTTTTAACCAGTCGTCCAGTAATTCCCCCGGCCTTGCCCTGCAGTAGCGCCAAGTGCCCGACGCTACTGACTGACCCGCCGGTAGGCGCTCACGCCTCCCCGCCCTCCTTCCCCAGATACGCTGCACCGGCGATATGGCGCCGTTCTCCCGCCACAGGCCAGGGAGAAAAGGCTTTTCCTGTGGAGAACACGGCGGCCGCCCCCCGCCAACACGGCCCCCGAGGGGCAGCGCCGTGAGGTGAGGCGGCGGCCGCCCCCCGCCAACATGGCCCCCGAAGGGCAGCGCCGTGAGGTGAGGCGGCGGCCGCCCCCCGCCAACATGGCCCCC